TTGAACCCTAGCCAGCGATGAGGGCGTATCCCCATACTTCGGTTTGGGTGCTGGCATGGTATTCAAATTTCACTTCTTTTTATTTTGTGGTTTTGGTTTCCGTTCCATCTTTACACTTGCCTGATAGGGCTTAGAGACTTTTTGTATTTTGCGCTCTATAAATTAATAACTATTAACCATTAATTTAATAGGAGAATAAACCTCCCGCTCAAAAATTCCCCACCCCACATCCTCTTTAACACCTTACTGCAGATCATAAATAAAATAGGCAAGTCATGTACTAAAGTGCCTCACTATCCTGCAGGTAATTCTAGGCACGTTTACAACATCATTATTATTAATTATGTAATCTAAATAGTACATTGTAGATACTCCTCCTGAATCAATCATTTTTTTCTCACTGTTCAACTTGATTCCTTAGGCAGCATACCGATTATGCACTCAGTGATCACTGTAGTGCTGGTCTAGGACAGAAGCAAATATGTAAGGATATGGCAAAAAAAAAGGCAGAGCAGATATGAAGTTGAAATGTACGTTGATACTCTTCAAGCGTTGTGGAATAGTTTGCACAAATGTGTCAGTCTTAAATTCTCTTTTACAGTAAACCAATTCCCTTCATCCCACTTTCTCCGACCTTAGATCATTTTTTAACTTTTACTTAAATGTTCTCTTAACAATTCCCATTAAAAAATAAATAAAATGTACTTTGAAACACTTCAAATGACAACTGCATAAACAATTTATATTTCTTTTTCTTTTTTAATTTAATCTGAAATTCAAACAGAATATACAACATATACAAAACTGAAGTCTAAAAATTAGACTTTTAAATACGGACAATTAATTGTAAAACTGAATACTTCACTCGCCAATATAACACCTTGGCAAGCAGTTTTCATTGTCTTCACAATTTCTGTGTATTTGAAAGAAAATATTTAAATGAAAGTCTTGGGGCCCTATATTGTATTTTTTTTATGTGAAGGTGCATTTGAATTCATATTCAATACAGACATAATGCAACTTTATCATCTTAAAAAATTATAGTCAATGTTGATAATATTTGTATAATATTACTATGGAAATATCCACAAATAGTTAGCCTCTTTTGTACCTATTTAAAATCTGGATACTATAGGAACATTTTTTATGTTGAAATCAGACATAACTGAAAACATTTAAGTCTTGATAATCAGGATTTAAAAAAAAATATTAACAATCAATTATATGAGGTTTTTTATAATTAATTTAACATTAAATGATTCATTTTTTAATTGATATTTTGCAGCATTGTAAATGAAAAACCTCATTCACATATTTATAAATCTCTGTAAATGTACATTTATTTTGTTAAATCCATAAACAAATTAAAAGAATTCTTAATATATTGCAGGAGTTGTCATCTGTTGTTTCTCATGACTTACATCATTCGATACTAATCTGAGATCATGCTCTTTTCTATTCTATGCAAATCCTCATGTATGGAATTCTAATAATTATTGATTTTACCCTAGGAGTCATTGACCCGTGACAAATCCATTGAACTGTGACAAATGCGCTGACCCATGACAAATTGTTAACTCATTAGTGTTGCCATATGCAGGATCAATCCTGACTACAATAGTGCCAATCTTTGAATAAATTAAACGTTTATATGAACTAGCATTGTGAAAGTAAGCAAATGTCGGTGCTTTCACACTAAGAACGTAAAAGGCGTATATATCATTCAAAAATTGGGAAAAAAGTTATGATGCATACAAGCTGTTTTAATATATTCTTTTTGTTGTGATAATCTTTTAAAATATAATTTACATTTGTTTTATCCCACAGATATTAATTTTTCATTCACATCAATATCATCATTATAATTTTTCCTGATTTATTCAATAGAATATTTATAAGAATAATAATCTACTTCTTAAACTCAATGCTTTTAAAGGCAAAACAACATGGATAGAACCATGTCATTAAATGCCTCTTTCCAAATTTCAACAAAAATTGAATAGCAGTTGTCATGGCAACAAGATTGTGTATATTTAATGAGCTGAGTATCTTAGGTCGGTAGATGGATAACACAGCATTGTAATGCTGAATTGTCCAAGCAATGATTTTTTGTTTCCGTTCCCCAGCATAGTGAAATTTGCGGTGGGTAAGAAGGGATTTAATAATATTTAAAAACTGAATTGTACGGGTGATCGAATTTGGATTGAACAGATTTAGATTGTGGTGGACATAGATTATGTCCCACAAAAGTAGTAATTTTTTACAGTAAATTCATACCATAAAAAATTCAACAGAAAATGGTTAAATTAGAGAATAAGACCACCTTTCTGTAGGCATTCATTCTCTTTGGCGGTTTGCTGAGATTGTCTCAATAATAGACAACCACATATTACAATCAAATTATCAACTTTGCTTCTATTATTTGTTTTCATGGGATGGTGACATTTTTAAAAACAAATGAGTACAAATCTTGTATATTACCTACATTATGACATGTAAAGAATAAAACGTGTATAAAAAATACACAAATTGATAAAATACATATAAAATTCTCTAGTTATACAGCTATATAACTTACTACATACCTCAACGACTCTTTATCAAAATATTCCCCCATCCATTCATAAATACTGTACATTATGAATATTCATCATATGCATAATTTTAATCATGAATATTCATGTTTGTTTATTAAATAAATACATAAATAGTTTTCATTGTGAATTAATTTTTTTAAATCTTAAAATGTTCAATTATAAAAACAACAAATTAATTACTGATGTTTTCTCGCAGCTTTTTCGAAGAGGAAACTGAAGTTATTACACAGAATTTTAAGATAAAAAAAACTATATCACAAATTTAATTTACTTCTTTATATTTAAAATTCTATATTTTGCAGCCATTAGGTGGTAAATTGATTAATTCATTTGAGATATTTGAACTGCAAAGGAAAAAGATAGAAATTTCCGGGGGTACATCAGCTTACTATGTAATAGAGGTGCTTCCCTCAGTCTACTTTACAACTAAAAATATAACTTTAATCTCTAAGCACATAGTGAGAATTAAGCCCAAAAAGCACCAATACAAATCAAAAGATTATTTTTTAAACCTTTCACTGATGCTGTCTATAACTAAATAGAATTAATTATAATTAAAATTTGCAATTTTGATCACTGATGACAATTCACTTTGGTTTTCCTTGGCCTAAATGATAAGATCATAAATATCCTGTCCCCCTCTTGTTTCCCATTCTCCCATAAATTAATCAACAATTATATTGTAACCATATTAAAAATGTGACAGTAGGTTCCAGCCACACTTTATAGCAGGGAGCTTTCAATTTATGCGACGACACGACGCTAGAACGGAATCAATCATGCGTGACTGTCCTACTGGGTGTCCTACGTTCTCTGCATACATAGATTTGGCCAAATTGCATCGTAGAATCCACACGACGAGAACTTAACATGCGCAGATGACTTTTACATTCTACGTCCTATTGTCGTCATGCAATTGAAAGCAACCTAATGTCGGAACTTAGCCTTTGCCTAATCAGTAACCAATCTAAATAAAGAATGTACGTCCCCTTAAACTTCAGAAATAAAATTATCATTGAATGCAGACCAGACAGCTTCCAATGGTAGCACAACAGCTATTGAAAGAACTTTTAAATCTTGAACTTGATAAATGTTGACCAATAAGCTGAACTGTGAAGGAATGGTCACAAATTTTTTAATACAATACAGGAAGAAGGTATAAATTCAGTGCAGTTAATTAAAAAAAAAACAATAATAATAAATTTATAATAAATAAAACAATCCCAGCTTATCAATATATATTCTGGCAATAATTTTATAAAAATCCAGAATTAAATTTCAGTTTAGCTTACTTAATTAAAATCACCACAAAATTGGTTTCTCCCTGGCAATTGTTTTTAATTTAAAATTTCACAGGAAGAATTTAGGCATTTAGTAGATAAAATGAGATATTCAACTAGTCATGCCACTGAACAGGAGCAGTCAAGTTAATAAACGTTTAAACTCTTTTTAAGTATATTCTTTTAACTAAACTTCCCTCTGTGGTTTTACAAAACTCTCTTCGTTCAAGGAAAAATGTATAAACTTACAAAGATAAAAAATATGATATATCATGATATCTTAATCTCTATTCTATTTACATTCATTTACATTTCTCTCTTTTTTTTTTCTTTATGAAATTAGACGGAATACCAAAAAGACTTATAAAACTCTTATATTATCTTGATTAGGAAATATATTTTAGGATACTTTGTGTCTTTAATGTCTTTAAAGGATTTGCGTTGTATCTGTGATTTGTTTTTTCACATTCCAACATCCACAAGCACATGCATGATCTGGTCAAGCTCGTCGGCAAGGTCAGTCCGACAAAGTCCTTGAGATATTGGTGTTTCTAAACTGAATGGACTCAAGTCGAGGCAAATAGATTTGAGTAAATCCTCGGTGGTGGTACACACTGGATTTGTTGATTTGGAGTTTGGTATAACCGATGCTGTGATGTCATCATAGTCATATTGTGTGATATCAATATCACGGAAGAAATCATCTGGCAAGAGTTGATCAGCAGTGTTCATCACTGTATCACCGTTAACCTCCCGGTGTTTAAGGGACTGTGATTCGCTGATTGTCTGTAAAGGTTTTACTAGATTATTTGGCTGAGTTGCGCTCAAAAGAGAGTTATTTGACCTATTCGAAGACAAAGTCCTGTTTTCATGAGCCTCGGTCGCACACACATTTTCAGTTCGTTTGCATAGATTGAGGGCGCCAATTGCATCTTTTTTCACGATATGACATATACCGTCCTCACCTATGCGCGATTCAGAGTTCACCTCATTTTGTTCGTTATTCTCATTTTCAGATTGGTTTGCAGCAATTAGATTTGTGAGTCTCACGCAATCATGAACTTTGCCCTCTGACCTGAGCTCCTTCTCAATTTGTCGCAAAGTATTACATATAAGAACGGAGCGTCGCAAACATGGTTCAATCAACGTGCGACTCATCTGTAATTTGCATATTGAAATGTTAAGGACAGACTGTCGCTGCACACAGTAATGAATGCCATCGCGACCTTCAATTTCATCTACTTCGTTAAATTTCCGCTTTAATCTCTGATTCACAAGACCAGGCATTGAGCTATGGAAGAAAAAAAAGTAAATGATAATGTTTTTGTGATATTACTATTATTATCACAACTTCTTGCAACACAAAACATTTCTATCATACTTTCTGTGGATGTTTTTTTTTTCTTGTTATCATTTGTTACTTGTAACAACAATCTGGTGCAAAATACAGCATAGTCACAATATTAATAATATAAATACATCACATTTAATTCAATTTCAACTAATTTTCAACTAATTAAACTTAGTATTAATTATGTAGAATAGCCATCCTGAAGCATCACAAAGGTACCACATACTATAAATAGGCTTTATCATATTTTTATTATCTTACTTCATGAAAAAAAAAACAGAACTTCCATTCCAAAACAATTTGTTAATACATAGTAACATCAACTCTACCACTACCAAAAATGATACAAACAGAAGTAAATACAAATAAGCCTCCATTGTGAAGCTAATACTGAATACATGGGTTAGAGTTAGACATTTACTAATAAATGATAGTATCTCCCAATAAACATTCTATTAATTTCCACCTAATTCTAGTCTAATAAATTATACTGTACTATTAAAATCATTTCAATACTTTGAATATAATACTTAATAGGATCAGATGTATGATTTCCCATGGACAACTTGTATACAATAGTGTAATATGCAAATCCCACAATTTTACTGGCACTATATTCTACATTATTTTTTGATGAAAAAATTATAAGAGAATTCAATACGTACTGTAAATAGAATATCAGATTATTGACCAATGCCCCTGGCCAAGTTTTATATAGAATCAAATTAATAAAATATCAATAAATAATACATTTGTTGAGCTAATGCCCATGGCAGAATAATCAAAACATGTTTGTTCAATGACAAAAAAAAATATTAAAATAATATTATACTAAAATTTGCTAAGCTATTGGCAATATATTTTGAAACAATAGGTTTAAAACATTAATATATTAATATTAAGATAATTTTTGCAAATTGTTGATAGACATATAGATTATTCTTTTCAAAATTTGATCATGAATACTATATACTGTAGGCCTATAATTGATTGAGATGTACTGTATTAGAATATATATGCCTGCTTTTTTTTTGCACTACTGTTCAGAAGCAGAGCACAGGGCCTTGACCCTAAGCTGTGACCCAGCTTATTATTATGTGCTGCATATCAACTCCGCAAAACACTACTCAGCTCTGCTAGTTTTGCATTGACTTGGCTACATGGGCTTAGATCCGCTCATCACACTGTGCTAAACAATTAACTCTGCCTACAAACTGTTACATTTCAGCTCGGCGCTCTAATCCTTATAAATACCCTTCTCATTCATTACAAATATCCTTCTCCTCATTGCAAATATCCTTCTCTGTTTTTGTTTTCTGACTACAGTATTATTAATTATTCCAGTCCTGTTGAGCTTCCCCTTAGCTAATACTTGGTGTTTTGCTAAACATATGTCAAATATTCCCATAGCTAGATCTTAACATATGGAAATACAAAACCAATAAACTTTTTTTATATTTATATATTAAAAAAATAAGCATCAATTTTCTAACCACAAAATGAATCAGCCTTATTAAATAATTATTATAAGATATTTTCTGTAGCTTAATCAATTGTTATGACAATATTTCAGATTTTAAAGAGGATTTTATTAAGTTTTTAGTATGTCAGTAACTTGTGATTTGAACTATCCTATTGCAACAAGCAGAGTTCAAATGTATTTAATAAATTTCAATAAATTACACAATCATGGGCTTTTTATTTCATTTCCATGTTATGGTTACGGAATGAAATTATTCCAAAATTAGGCCAAGTGTGTTTTACATTCCCCCTCCAAATATATTGTCCAGATAGACAAGTTTTACTTGTTTGGAATTGGAATTTATATATGGATTTGAAATTTCAAAATAAAGGATGATTGATTGTCTGAAAGATTAATTGTTAATTAATTATACTTGATTGGTAGATTAAACCATAAAGTAATACCATGTAATGTAGTATGATGCACATGTGATCTACTGCACTGTTATACATGTGATATCTGAGCACCTGCAAAAAGTCTGTGCATTGCAAATTTCATATCTGCTCATGTGATTTTGTCATGTGATGGGATGTCATGGATCGTTTAATTTTTTACTTATCAAATTTGATATTGCAAGTGTTGTCTGCACATACAATTCCAATAAGTTAATTTGATATCTACACATTTGTAAATGTCACACAGGTGATATATAGGTGATACCTGCACATGCGTAAATTATGATTTATGCATATGTACAGCAATATGCAAATCTACAACATAGGAGCTGATGGGAGGAGTGGTATGATTGGAAAGTGAGGGTGGGTACAAGTTTGGCAAGGTGAAATATGCATAGTGTATAATAAGATGACACATATTATACAGTATGTACATGATACTTCTATAGTGTAATATCTACAAATGCAAGGAATTTACCTATTAACTGTGGGTCATATAACACATCCTCTACATTTACAGAAGAGGGAAGATACATGCACAATATCAACCATTCTAAAGTGGCAAGTTTTGAGCATCTGTAGGCCTATACAAAAAAATAATCATTATCACCTGTAGTCAATTTTGAAATTAAACTCTTGCTAGATAACAAAATGTAATAAAAATACAATTTTTTATACCTTCTGTGTAACTTATTTGTTTATTTTAATTGTGGATGCAGATACCTCATTAAAATTTAAATCAGTTTCTAAAATTTACTTTTATAGTAGATTAGACATTTAAAGATCATACAGACAGGCATTGTAGACATTTCACAAGAATATAGTGAGCTTGGACAAGTCTTCAATATTGTAGCTAATAAGGGGGCTTACCAAACCAGTTAAGTGGCAAGGCATAATAAATTTCTAAGCAATAGTGGTTGCAAAGTATGTGAAACAGGGAAAAAAATAGACTACGTAAAGAAAACGTTGTCTACGTTAGCTGGGTGGACCAACCAGTGACTTCCCTTCCAAAGTGAGCTCATTTCCCAACTAAGGATGTTTGAGTCAAGTTTGAGTTAACAGCCAGGAATCCCAAATATTGCACCTATGCTCTAACACACTAGGTCAGGCCATGCATTTCAAATGCCTCATGATATACCTAATTTTGCTAAAACAAATCTTTTTCTAGGATGTAATAGAATTTGCAAATATAATTAAGAGATTAGGCTCTGCCACATAAGTTAATCTGTTTGAAATTACCATTCATCTTTTTAATATTAATATTATTTATCGTCCTTTCCTCTTGTTGAAATTTCTATTTGTTTGTTTGTATATATATGGTAAACAGGAGAACTGGAGCGCATGAAAAAGGCATGAATAAAGATGAAGAAATACATAAGACCAAATAGGAGGCGGAGCATTCATGTTTAAGGAATTGAAACATACAGTACCAGCAAGAAAGATATTATGATATGTAGGGGACGATCCAGGGTCTGTCTCTTATACACATCTAGATGTGTATAAGAGACAGGTATATGGTTTTTTTAATTCAGACACTCATATCCTTTATGCCGTATGGTCTACTAATTGTATCCTTAATACCACTAATTGTCCATATGTATTTTCTATAATAACTACTGTACTTGTTTGAATACCTACAGACTTAATCATATCCGTACACTAACCAAGTTTTCACTAAAGCTCCAGTACACACAGTAGCCTTCCGTTATGATTATGATACGCTACTTGCTACTACAATCAACATTCCATCTGTGCTACATTAATAAATGTGATTCTGTGCTACTAAGCAGACAAACAATGGACCTCTTTCAAGAATAGTTGGAAAATAACAGAAAGTCCATTAATTAAAATATATGTATATAGTATTATTTTATTTATATCCCATTTTTATGAAAATAAAATGTCACCAATCACCATTCCTAATGTAAGTGTACCTTATTAAACACTATGGCTTAAGTTAATGTAGGTTAGTACATACATCTTAGGATTTTTAGACAAAAATAAAGTATACAGTATTATCTTTTGAAAGTCTCCAATCTATTTGTTCCTTCCTTATAAAAAAAAATTATTATGGCCATAAAAAATATATAGGCCTATAAACTTCCACTCAATGCTTTAAACCAGTTTGAAGTTAAGACACTCTATAAAAATTATTGTCATTAATTTTTTTAGTTATTTTTTGAATTTTATTTTATGGCATTTTATAGGCCTATTGTGATTGAGTAAAAATATTGATGTTTATTTTCACATATTTAACTTAGGAATATATAAAACTAACTAGATATAGCTTGGAGGTTACATCTTCTGACATGATACACATGTTTTATAAGGACATTAGATAGGCTACCGGTATAAGTAGAAATACAGGTAATCTTGATTTCTACCACAGAAGTAAGTCTTTGCCTACTGTACTTAAAGTTGACATTGCCCAACAGCTGTTGTTTTTTTTTTTCAATGTCGCCCACAGATCATTGCAAACACCTTTTGACTCAACTAATCTCATTAACCATCTTACTAATTTCATGATGACCAGGTACTTTTTCTCAAATTCCAGATGTGGATTATTATACATTCTCCCCTACCCACATCCAAACACGGAAAAAAACATTTGGACAATCTTTATTCATTTATTGAGTAACCTGTTTATTAAATTACTTTAATAATCACTTCCCTCTCTGGCATCATTAATGTGTTACTCACATCCATACAGACATGTTGCATGGATTTACCAAATCTTACAGAAGTCCTAAGAGCCACAAAGACATTTTAATTCAAGAAAAAAGAATATCTACATATAAAGCTTTCCTTGTTTCTTTATATCTATCATTGTCTAATTCTTTGTTTACTACCAAAGGTCTATCCAGCATAAATCAGACGCAGAAATGGCACGCTTCAGTGAACATCTCTGATGAATAAAGGACGCAGACTACTTCAAATGTAACAACTTCCATAGGAAAATCTCTGCTAAATATTAACGTCTAATCTATGGTAATTCAATTAAATATTCCAAAAAGGATGCAAAT